CGATGTTCAATGGGAGACACTACGCGCAAGATGCCGAGTACCACTTTCACATCTCAATGAGGAAATTCATTGAGGAGCACTTGTTGCCCGTGCAGCTTTCCAAAGGACGAGCTGGGAGCGACGCATGTACGACAAGCTAGGGCAATTCTAGATCTCTGAGCTGGCTGCCGCGAGAGCTCAGGGCTGACGGAAGTGAGAAATGCAATCTGCTGCAGCAATCCCGCAGCAAACTGACGTAGACGGCGGATCTGGGCATCACGGCGTGGTCTATACCGTTTGAGGAGCTCCTGTGGGTATCAATGTCGACCGCGAGTCTGCACAACAGCCGTGAAGGCGGCTCTCAAAGTGCGTACGCAGTGCTGGTTACGACGCGGAGGGTATCTGAGGGACAGCAACAGCGTGCCAGTGTACTCGGATGAAGGAGCTCCAGGATGACGAAGGTGCTTTACTCTACACTCCACGCTGAGACGCTTACGCTAAACAATGGAGTTGCTGAGCTGGGCTGGATCGTGACCTTATGCCATGATTGACTTCTCAGGGTTCAAGCTCGATGAGTGGGAGAAGTGGTGTGAGCGTGTCCCTGGCTGGACGAAACACAGAGGCTGAGTATCTACGGAAGGGGCTGTGCGCGGTGGACGCCAAAATCCCTGTACGACACCCTGCAGCGGGAGACCACTGGTGGGCGAGATCGGAAGTGCTCTACGAAGGTCCAGGTCATCAAGCAAGCGATCAATGTTATGGGTTGCGAGATCAGGTGGATGGGTCACTCCGCCATGTCAGCGGACGGGGTGACGAAGCGGAAGGCGAAGATGAACTTCATGGTGGAGCTCCTGCGCGACGGGACCATGTGTACCGTTGACGAGCAAGAAACGATGGAGGTCTGCCGCCAGCCAGTGACCTCAGCGCTAGCGCCATGAGCTGGCTGCCAGGAGGCTGATGGAAACAGGGTTTTTCGGGAGCTGTAGATTTACGGTGCTACTTGTGCCCGATGCTCTTCCATTCAGCACTATCCTTTTCCCTTGCTTGCATGCTGCAATCATATCCTGCTCGGGGTGGCTGATCCCTGTTTCCTTTTGTCCCTCCAGTCACGACCAATACGATAGCACGTTATCTCCCCTCCCATATATTTATGCCCGTTTACTGCTATTCTGGTCGCTAAACAAGGTAGACTGCGAGTACAGTCAAGACGTACCTGTCGAGTGAAAATGAGTCCAGCATCATGGGAGGATTTTCACCCTTCCACAAGCCCAGAAAGACCACGTTTGAGAGAGGGCTCATAAGGATAACGAATTCATCAACCCCACCGTGGGCAGCCTTCGGAATGGTGTAAAAACTTTGGAACACGCCTGCACGCCAAGGTGCAGATCCCAGCGAGGCGCCCAAGACGCCCACAGAGGGGCCTCCGCGAGGCCCCAAGCAGGCCCCCAGAAGACGTCCAGGATGCCCCCTAGATAGGCCCCAGACTCGCCTCAAGAGGCGCCCACGAGAACTCCTAGAAGACCTCCAATAGCCCCCTTGTCCACGACAAAGGCACGGTGACTTGATGGGCCGAAGACCACTGGGAAAAGATACAACCAAAAAAACGCCCGCCTTACAGGGGGGGGGGTTAAATCCGCCATCGTGCTCTGGTACGAAATGGAGTGCCCCAAGGCGTACAACTGTGCTGCTGTGTCTGCAACCAAGATTGTAATTTCAGAAGGGCCCAGAACTCCGGAATCCTGGGCCGTCCCGGGGTCTTCAATGGTCGTCTGGGGTTTCTCCCGTGAGCTCTGGGGTGTTTCTTGCCAGTCCTCTGGACGCTGTGCTCTTGAAGGTTCTGGCGTTTCCGCCTTTTCGGATTTCCGACGCTTCAAGAGGGCCCAAGAGGCCCCCAAGATCGCCCCGAGGCGGCCCAAGAGGTCCCCAAGAGGCCGAGACGGTCCAAGAGGGCACCAAGACGGCCCAGGAGGCCTCCAAGATGGCTCAAAAGGTCCCCAATAACGCCCAAGAAGGATCACAGTGGGGGAACGCGAACCAACGTTTCAAGCTCTCCGACCCAAGAGGCCCCTAAAAGGCCCCTGAAAAAGCCCCCAAAAGGCCCGAAGAGGCCTCCAAACGGCCACCAGGAGACCCCCAAAGGCCCCCAAGATGCCCCCAAGAGGCCCACTAGAGGGCCCCAAGAGGAGTCAAAACTGCCCCCTCTAGAGGCCACCGAGAACCCTCCAAAGAGATCCCAAGACACATTCATGAGGACTCTGACCCACAACCCAAGCAGGGTGGCAAGAGAGGCCGAAGGCCAGTAGAAACCGCTAACGCTACTCTGAATGCGAAAGCGAAAGTGGGAGAACACAATTCAGGACAAGCGCAACAGCGACAGCACCAGCGCAATGATATACTGGATCAGCGCTGTTCAGAGCGGGGCCCATACAGTAACCTCTTGCTCTCTGGAAGTGTACACATGTGTGAAGCAATTTACGCACTGCAGGTTACGTGGTGGAGGCATGTGGTGTCATATGTGTAATGCAAGCGACGTGAAGCAACCGATGTGGCGCAATGCCTATGAAGTAAGCTGTGTGATGCCATCGGCGGGGTGCAGGTTGTGGTTCAACTCATGTGGTGCAAGGTGAGGTGGTACAACCAATTTTGTACAAACTAAGTGGTGCAACAGATGCGTTATTCTTCACCCTGCCGACATGAAGGTTGCCAAACCCACTGCTCGCGCAATCATCCCACCCACCCACCCACCCGCAACTTGGTTTTCAAAGCCCATGCGCCGGCGAGTGCGAGGACTGCTCGGCACTGGCTGGCGCATCGCCGTGGCCACACTAGCTCGCAGGCTCGCGCGCAAAGCGGTCAGCTTGTCTGATGCGGCCGACGCGGCCGCGGTGGCACTGACCGATGAAGCATTCCCAACACGTCTCGCAGGCCACGCTGACGCGCGGGCACCTCAGTGCGAGTCGGTGACTCGGGAGTGCGCGGCATCATGGCGACGTCGGCAACGGCAGGCACGATGATGATAGTAGAGATGCTGTCGACGATAATGACAATGACGACAGCAAAGGCAATAACGGCGCCGACGCTGATCACGCCGATGACAATGATGGTATCCTCGCGTCGGTGACGAAGGTTGTGATGCGCGGCCGACGCGCGCAATTGGCCCGCATGGTTTTATTTGACAGGGATCGTGCCCCCCCCCCCCCCCAAAGCACGCGCGCAAAGGCGTTCGAAGGATTTCGACATGCGCACGCGAGAGGCCCGTCCGGTCGCTTTTGATGAAGATGCTGAAGGATCTCTGGCGCTCCTGAGAATTCGCAAGAACGAGAGCGCACGCAAAGCGAGAGCAGGCTATGTTGACAGATCCTGCTGCGAAACCATTGTTTCTGACATGTTTTCGGGACGGCATGCGTGCGCTATGACGCGCGCGTGTGCACTTCGTTTCGTTTCTTGCCAAGGGATTCTTGCGACAGCACGCGTGCAAGGGCGTTCGCATGATTTCGACATGCGCTCACGAGAGGCACGTCCGATAGCATGTAGTGAAATTGTTGAACAAACTACGGCGCTGTTACGAATTCGCAGGATGAAGTTTCCAATTGCGAAACAATACGTTTCTTTATGGTTTCGGGACACTCCATTTGGATTCCTCACGAAACTTGAAGTTGTTTCAAGGATTTCGGCATGCGCACGCGACGAAGCGCGCGCGTGTGCACTTCGTCACATTTGTTGCAAGCGGCTTTTGAAAATTGATGAATGTGTGATAAGCGGGTGAGCGGGCATAGTGTTTTTCGCAAAAGATGAAGGGGGGGTGGTCGGTAAAAGGACTGCCTCAGATGGTAGGGGTTCAGATTTAGGTCGGGCGCGTGCGCAGAACCATTCACCTAATACAATACGAAAAGGGGGACGTGTTCAGTCCTGGGGGAGGGGTCGATCAGAATATTCTTGTAGAAAGGAACCGTATGCGTGGTGCCAGCTAGCAGGCGCGGAGCAAACTAGGTGATGAACATGTTACAAAGTGATTGGTGCAGCCTATATGGTGTACGCTATGACATATAAGAGATGCAGTATACATTATGTGGTCCCAACTAAATGATGTGGGATGTGTGGGGCAAGTTGTGCGGGGGCATCCTGCGTGATGTTAGCTATGATATTCAAGCTACGTGGTGCAGGCTGTGTGGTGCAAGGTACGTGATGCAAGCTATGTGGCTTACACTATTCGGTATCTGCGATCTTGTAAGCTATATGGTACAAGCTATGTGGTGAAAGCTGTGCGCAGCGCGCTGTGTGGTGCGAACTGTGTGATGCAAGCTATGCGATGCAACCTACGTGACTTCCACAAGACGCCCACGGCCCCGCACTAGGCAAACCCCCGAGCACCCGCTCAACAAGAAACACTCACGGGCCCTGGACGAAACCCAGAACACCCTCCCAACACGGGATACCGACGAAGCGCAAGGGGCGGGCACCAAGCCAACACTTGAAACACCTAACAGATGCCGCAAGGGAGCTAATGAGAGCCCCCTAAGGCAAACACCGTTTGGAGAAATTGGTACTCAACTTGGAAACGGGAACCTCTTAACAGCTGGGGGTCGCCTGGCCGCCTCTCACAACTGCTGTTCAGGCTCGTCTGCGGCATGGTTCTGCGTGCGATGTTCAACGCTGTCTAGACGATCCTCTGGTACCCATGTCATAGATTCTGGGTCCCCAGTTGGATCGCAAAAACTGCCCCGAGCCCAGAAAGGAATGTGATGAAACACATGCGCGGACGGCATTCGGGAGCATGCACGGAAGCTCGACCTAGGGCCGCCTTTGGTCCGCCTTGGGGCCATAATGTGAATCGTCGGCCCATGTGGGGCGCCTTGTGGGCAATCTCGAAACAACTTTGAGCGCGCATTGGAGCAATTATTGGCCTCCTGCGGGGTCGGCCTGGACCTGTGACGTCATGATTCAGCCTTGCGTGAAGTCAGCTTCCGCAGATCTTGCTAGAACTATCTATGAATGGTGGGCGCTGGACGCGAAGCGACGTCAAAAGCAATGGGTCCCAACCCATCAGGGTTCTCCTGCAAGATGAAAAACGACGACACGCCAAGCTTTCCCGTTATCTTCACGATCTCCAACGCCTTCATGTAGCCAGACTCGACTATGTCGTCGATGTCCGAGGTCATCGCCAAGACGCGCTCGCTGGACGGAACTTTGCCCCTGGAGTCCGCATCGTAGTTCATGAACTTTCGGAACACGTTCTGCCTCAGGTAAGCCTTGGAGACCTCTGGCAAGCCCAGCTGTGACTTCCAGATGTCCAGTCCGTTCAGGAGCCCGTACGGCACCAGGTACAGCGCGCCGACGGAGATTAGCGTGCTCTCTAGACTGTTGGGCACGAGGAACGCAGCAGGATCCGCCCCCTGGGCCAGCACGTCGTCCGCGACGTACTTGAGCAGGTTCACGGTCAGCAGGAAGTACAGGTTCTGCAGCTGGTCGATCGCCAGCGTTGCGATCGTCATGCTCTTGACGGCCAAGTTGCTGTAGTTGAGCTTGAAATACTCGATGAGCAGCTCCACGGGCTTGACACCGCAGTCGCCCTGCGTCAGTCCCCGAAGGCCATGCTCTTTTATGACATCGTTGAACCTATTCGTGGGGAAAGTATCCCCATCGATGACCTTTACCCTCGAAGTATACAGATAGCGTCCGAGCTCGCAGCCAACAGGGTCGTACAACAGGACACTGAACTCCAGCGTTGTGCACCACTGGCCGTCGTCGATGATGGGAATTGTGATGCTCTTGCAAGTGTCCTTTTCGGAGAAATGCAATTCGCCCTGAACAGCTTCATACCTTTGCCCCGCTATTGCAGAACCGTCGACGGTCTTGTACTTCACGCTGCACTTACCCCTCATAGTGCCAAGGCGCATGACATCCAGAGTCATCGCCCCTTCTTCCTAGCAGAGGCGGAGGGACGAGGACGAGAAGGACGCGAAGAAGAAGCAGAAGGGGGAAGTGAGGTCAACATGTCAGCCGAAGACCATTGTGTCTCGATCGTGCCTTGTCCAACCCAGTTTCAAACGGCGAGTTCAGACGGCGAGTTCATCCGATCAATGTCAACAATTTGGCACCATTGCGCTTAGAGAGATCGTGCCACCGCTCCCAAAATTCACTCACTTGCCCGACTGACCGGTCTCATTCCACTGCGCTGAATTAGAACTACCAGTGCATCGGCCACCAGAATGCAGGCCACGGCAACTAGTTTGTACAATCGTCCCACGCCTGCTCCGGCGCCAATCGGAAAGGCGGGGCCACAACGACGACGGCGACACCTTGAGGCCCAGCGGCACGCCACAACAGCGGCCCAACCAGGACCAAACGTATGCCGTAACTCACGCAACAACGCGATGCTACTGACAGTAGGCTGCGCAGCAAAGACCACGGCCCAAGTCGTTGCACCGAGACCGTGGTGCCAGTTGCCTGGCGACCAGAGGTATACCATTCGCTACCACGTGCCCCTCCCCCTCCTCGAGCTCTCCCTCCTCTAGCAGGGTGTTGCATGCCCCCCAACAGCCATGGGGTGTGCGAGTACCCAAAGGCCTCAGCGGAGCTAAGCAAGCCCAGAGAAGCAAGCATCGACAGCTGGGTGCAGGCGGGTTCCTCCATATCGCCTCGCGATTAGGCAGGGTACCCAAAGTCTGGGGTTCGGTCGGGCATGTCCCCCTACAGACCGACTTGGGACGATTCTTCTGTGATGAAAAACTCAAACATGGCCAAAACATCGTCGAACATCGCCCCCGGGCTATGTTTGCCTATTTTTGAGCCTCCCTCCTGTAGTTAACGGGCGAAGAACGGTATAACATAAACTTTTTCGCTGTCGGGGGCGCCTGTCCCAGGGCGGCTGGAAAGTTTATACCCTTACGGTGGCACCGTAAGGGTATAAACTTTCCAGCCGCCCAGGGGCAGGTGTCCCCGACAGCGAAAAAGTTTATTTTATACCGTTCTTCGCCCGTTAATGTAGAGGGACGGGCCCGCCTCGAGCCTGGGCCACCTCTTGGGCGCCCTGGGAGCCCGTCCCCGGGGCCGCCGGGGGCGGCAGGCGCCCGTCCCCGGGCCCGAGGCCAGCAGAGCCCCGCGCCCCTGGCGCGCGCGGGACGTCCCAGCGCCCAGGGTGGCCTGCCGAGGGCGTGCCCGGCAGGGGCGGCCGACGAGCAGTGGAAAAAGCACCCTTTTGGTCCCGTGGAGCGGGGCAGCGGGAAGGGGGGGAATGGAGTGGAGTGGGGGGGTGCACCGCCCCGCTCCAGGAGCGACCCACGAACCCGGAAACGCCTCCTCCTCCTCCTCCTCCTCCTCCTCCTCCTCCTCCTCCTCCCCCGCCCACGAACCCGGGGGGGGGGAATGGAATCGCCGATATATCGCCGACAGATCGGCGACAGGCCCCCCGATAGTGAATCCGCACCTTCCTGTTCGGGCCACTGTCGGCGATCAATGGGTAATTGGGTGTCGACGCATCCCCCCCATGCCTATCCCCACCCCCGCTGCGGGAGGGGTCCCAAGCCAGGAGAGCCAAAAACATATGAGATAAGGGGGTCGTTTTGCAGATGCATCCGACGAGTCCACCCTGATGTTTAAGGATATCCTTCAAAAAACCGTGGGCCCAAGTTCGGCCACGAGCTCATTGCGTCATTAGGTATCTAGGGGGCAAACAAACCTACCTCGCTTTTGACCACCCTCGTCTCCAAGAGATACCACGCGATGCCAAACGAAGGCCTGTACTGGCCAGGCCGCTTGACGAGGAGGCGCGTGGTATGACTTGGTTCTGCCTGGAAGCGAAAGCGGGGTAGGTCATCCACGCTCCGAGTATCAGGGTTGGCGGTTGTATCATGCTTTTGTGATGAATGGTGGCGTGCCGGCGCCGCCTGCCGCGGAGACGCACAACCGGGAGCCCGCGGAGGCCCTCCCCTCCACGACGGTCCTCCTCGACGAAATAGACTCCCGCGTCGAACTGCAAGATGTCCGGCGGCGGCCCCGCGCTCTCCAGCGGCGCGGCCTCTTGCGCGAAAGGGCCACGGCGAGGGGGGAGGAGGAGGGGGAGGAGGGGGAGGAGGAGGAGGAGGAGGAGGAGGAGGAGGAGGAGAAGGAGGAGGAGGAGGAGGGGGAGGAGGAGGAGGAGGAGGAGAGGAGGAGGAGAGGAGGAGGAGGAGGAGGAGGAGGAGGAAGAGGGAGGAGGAGGAGAGGAGGAGGAGGAGGATGAGGAGGAGGAGGAGGGGGGGGAGGAGGAGAGGAGGAGGAGGAGGAAGAGGAGGAGGTGGAGGAGGAGGAGGAGGAGGCGGAGGAGGCGGAGGGGGGGGGCAGGAGAAGGGGCCACGGCGAGAGAAGGAACCTCTGCCCACTTCCGTGCGGGCACCGGCGCAGGGCCGGTGCGGAGACGGGCGGCGTGCACGAAGAGGGGCAGGGGGAGGGGGGACGGCCTCCCACAACCAGGGTGCTTCCAAGACGCGTTCCTGCCCCCTCTTTGAGCAGGGACCGACGGTCCCGGCATTTCTATAGCCATACCATGAGATGTGCTTAGAACCCCAAAATGTTCTAAGAGCAAAAACAATGTTCTAGAACATAACTCGATGTGCTAAAACAAAACAGTCCCAGCCAGAAATGTTCTCAGGACATTTCGTGGGAGCCACAAACTGTTCTTAGAACATGGTTTGGTGGGGCTACAGGCGAGCCGGGACGCCTCGCCACGGCTTGCCCTCAGCGCGTGGCTGGGGATCCGTGGCGGGCTCCCGAAATCTTGAACCAAAACGTGTTGCGCTCTCTTGGGGTCGCATTTTCTTGCATCCGCTGGATTCTGCCGAGCTTCCGCTGGCGGGCCCGCCCAAAGATCGCTTCCGCCGCTCTCCGCCGACCATCCGCCGAGGAGGAGCTGGCCACTGCCTCGATCCCTTCAGGGCCAAGCCCTTTCTGCAGCGCGCCCTTTGCACCGGGCATGTGTGCACAACCACCTGGGGCCCTGGCATGCTGCTCCTGCGCCATCTCCTCCCCCCCCTCGTCCTCCTGCTCCTCCTCCTCCGCCTCCTCCTCCTCATCCTCCTCCTCCTATTCCTCCTCCTCCTCCTCCTCATCCTCCTCCTCTCCGCCCCCTCCGCCTCCCCCTCCTCCTCCTCCTCCTCCCACCCCTCCTCCTCCTGCCTGGCCAGGGCCATCCTGGGGCCCTGGCATGCTGCTCGTGCACCTCCTGGGGCGCACCAGGTGACCCTGGCCAGGCACCGTGGTGTGCCGCCTGCCTCCCGCGGGGGCTGGCCCTCGCCTCCGACGCGCCCCTGCTTCCCCGACGCCGGCCTCTCGGCTGCAGTGCTCTCGACCCCTTCCTCTTGACGACCTACCAGACCACCCCAACCCAACCCGAAGACCCGAATTTCGGGTTGGGGGGGGTAAGGGTTCCACATGTGTTTTTTCTATGTTTCCCGACCCCCCCACTGGAAATCGAGGGTAAATTTGAGCCTTCGGGTTGGGTTGGGGTGGTTTGGTGGGTGGTGACCTCTGGGCTGGCCTCTTCATCCTCAACTTGGCGGCGAGCCCGGGGGGGGGGGAGTGACGGGGCGGGCTCCCTCGGGAAGCTCGGCACGTCTCGGGCTCTCCGCAACATGTTGCTGAGCCTTCTCCGGACACGCACAACAAAACACTTCTCGGAAGGCCCGAGGGCTTCTGAGAAGCCCCGCCGCCTTCTCAGAATGTCTTCTCCTTCTCTCGGAAGTTAGGCGAAGGCTGGCAGATCCGTGGCTACTAAAACGGTCTTCCCAGAAGAAAAAACAATTTCCCGTAATCAAGCCCAGCGCGCCGAATAGTAAACGGGCTCCTTCCTGGGAAGAAAACCAGATTCCTGAGCTCCGTTTTAGCAGCCACGGGCTCGCCAGCCTCTGCCTGGCTTCTGATTCTCCCTTCCCCCCCCCCGCTCGCCGCCGTAAATCGTGGCTCGACAGACCAGGGGCTCGGCAGCGGCCTGCAGCAGGCCGCACACGCGTGGAACAACAACAACAACCAGAAAACACAGGTCGAGCTGGAGCCGCGCGGCCGCGCGGCCAGAGAGGGGCACGACCGAACACCTGGCTGCAGTCAGCCCGCCAGGGATCGGCCTGAACAGTGTTTCTCGTGTTCGCTAGGTGTTCGCTCTCCCTCGTTCTGTCTTCACTCCGCCTCCGCTGCACAACGAATAAAAAAAGGGCCCATGAAACCGCCAGAACCCCGTTTGGGTCGAGCCCTGCAACCCACATAGCAAGGGTGGGGCAACCTTCCCAAAGGATATGCTTGCATCCTTGCCCCTTCGGCCCATCCGGAGCGACTCTCGCTGGCCAACCTCGTTCGAAACACGCTCACGTGGCCCTCCAAGGCCCCGGCGTCCTTACTGCGCGTCCTTCTGATAGGGGTTGACTGTATGAGAGAGGAGGGGAATGAGGAGGTGGAGGGACAATGATAGGAGGGACCGGCAGAAGGGGGGGGGAGACATCGACCTGGAATCGGCGATGCATCCCCGATAGATCGGCGATAGCCCCCCGATAATGAGTCCGCACGTTCTTGGGCGGGGTGGGGCTATCAGACCCCTGTCGGCGATCGATGGGCGATTGGGGGTCGATGCACCTCCCCCCCTCTGCCCATCCCCCCCCCCACACTGTCGTTGCCCCTGAAAGAAAGAAAAAGGAGGCGAAAGGCGCCTGCGACGCGTCCTGCGCGGACCCCGCCGTCCTGCACCGGGGACGTGCTATGACACGGGTCAATGCACACCCGGGCCAGTCGGGCTTTGCAAGATCCCGCGCGCGAATCCTGGTCAACGCACCCCTGGCCCTGCGAAAGCCTGCAAGAGATCCGGAGCTCTGACTGCTCCCCGTTTGCATTGACCCCCGTCTCAAGGCTTCCGACTGCATGGGATAAGAAACGTTGATCCGTGCCCTTGCCCTCGCATACCGCTCCCTCTAACCAACCTCTACATTATCCCTTCCCCTAGGATTGACAAGCCCGGATGCGATGACAATCTTAGGGATGCGCGCTCAGAAGCGGAAGGAATCCTTAAGATCGGCATCGAGACCAGGTAATACCAAACATGGGGATAGGGATGTGTTCCCGGCTGGTAACCCTCTGCAAGTCAATCCTGCCAAGGCATAGACTATCTGGATGCGCCCGTGGCCGAGTGCATCCAAGATGCCGTGTCCACACCCGTGCGTGTCCACCTTCGCCAGCCGAGGCCTCAGATGGCGACGAGGCGAGGCTCGGGATTGGGCGCAGAGAGCCCCAGGTGAGGATTCGAGTTGTGATTGTTGCTGCAGTGCTGCATTGTCGTCGTCCTGTCGCGATCCACCCCGCGACCCATCAACGACCCATCCCCGATTCACGCGCGACCCACCCACATCGTGCGTTGACGGAAAGTTGGTGCCTGCGGTGGGCCCGCAATCCAATGTGAAAAAGATCGGCACTTACGACGGGGTTCTTCAAACTTGCTTCCGGGTATCACAGACTGTCGACGACCCCCCCCCGCCCCCTCACCCTTATCCGCAACTGCAGGAGCCATGTAAACGTGTAACTTGCACTGAAGACGCCGAGCTGAAGTCACTGGCCCAACGGGCCAGAGGCGTGCTAAGATCTCCAGCAGCACTTTGGAACACTTCTAATTAGGGCCCGAAGACTGCCCCAGAGGCCCCCAAGAGAGCCGCAAACGGCGCAACAGGCGCCCAAGACGGCCTAAGCAGGCGCCAAGAGGGGCCCAAGAGTAGGAACACAAACTGAAATTCCAAGCCTTCCGCCCCAAGAGGCCCCCACGAGGCCTCCAAGAGGTCCAAAGAGGCCCCAAGAGGCCCCAAGCGGTCCAGAACAGCATCCCAAAGGCCCCAGAACTGCCTCCAGGAGGCCCCCGACAGGCCTCGACGAGATCCCGCCGAACATCCAAGAGGCCTCAGACCCACCACTCAGGCACGGTGGCGGGATGGGCCGAAGGCCACTACTTAGATCCGCCGCCCCATGTGGCTTGCCGGCTGCACGGCGTGCCGAATGTTTTGGCTCTGCAGAAATCCCCGTGGGGCTTCGGCCCAGCCCGCTGGTCAGCCGGAACGCTCGAGAAATTCCGCCCTCCGTTGGCCAACTCGCTTCCAGCACGGCTGAGATGGCCTCAGATGGTCTCCAAGGTGCCTCCAAGACGGGCAAGATGGCCCCAAGAGAGCCCGAGATAACCCCAAGATTACCTCCAAGACGGTCCCAAGATACCTCCAAGACCGCCAAGATGGTCCAAGCGAGCACAAAACGGCCCAAGAAGCGACCAAGAGGCCCCTAAGACCGCTCAAGAGGCCTCCAAGAGGTCCTCCAGGAAGGCCCGAAGAGACCAAACACATGGTTTTCCTCAAGTTTGTTGAAGGATGTTGGCATTTGCTTCAGAACGGCCTTCCGACGGCCCAAGACGGCCCAGGAGCCCCCCAAGATTGCCCCACGATCGCCAAAAAGGCCTCCAAGATGGCCCCAGGACGGCCCACGAGGCTCCCAAAGGCGGCCCCCAAAGGGCCCCATGGCGGCCCTGAAGGCCTCCAAGACGCCCAAGATAGCCTTCAAGACGAACCTGAAGCGCTCCAAGAGGGCCCTAAAAAGGCCCAAAATGGCTCCCAATACAGCTTCCGTCGGCGTCAGACGGGCCAGGAATTCCGTCAGACAGCCAAAGAGGCCCCCCGGAAGCCCCCAAAGGCCCCCAAAAGGCCCAAGGCGGCCTCCAAGAGTCCTCCAAGAAGCCCCCAGGAAGCTCCAACGAGGCCTAATAATGACCCCAGAAGCTCCCAAGTCTCCTCATCCTTCTCCTCATCCTCCTCTTCCTCCCCCCCGCCATCCCCGAAGGGCGTCCACAACGGCTGGGGGGAACGCATAGCGCAAACTTTGCCCAGAACGTTTGGCCACATAGGCGTATCCTAAAAGACAGGGGGCGGCGGTGAGTCTCCGTAGGCGTCTTCGATATGGGCGGGTGGAATGAGCGAAACTACTGTGTACTTCGATCGTGGCCGACGCAACCAATGTCCTAAGTATCCTCGTATGAGGCGTCGCGACAATTCTGTAACATCGACCGTCACAAATCACGTCCGGAGCCCTCGGTCCCATCTTTAGGCCCCGTTTCCGAGCCGGTCGATACACGATGCGCCAAGGACCAGACAATTTGCAGAGACGCCCGCCCTCCAAAGAACTGCGACGCCAAGATCTGAGGGCACCTCAAGCTCAACCCTGCCCTGCACTCTCAACGAGGGAACACTCCTTCATTGCTTCATTGCAATGAAGAGCGCGCCAGTGGCGGCGCCAAAGGCCGTGAACTGCGCCCCCTTATCACGCGCACTGACCGTTACTTTCAGCAAATTATATTTGGTTTGAGCCCACGCTGCCAAACCTGTTGGAGCGCCTTCAATGCAACGTGGGCAATAATTGGAGGTGCTCCAGTAGTTACGGTAGCGGGATCTTGCCCATCCTGCTCATCCTGTTTCTCCTCTTCTTACTCCTCCTCCTCCTCCTCCTCCTCCTCTTATATTGGGGCGCTCGTGGGCGCTGTTCTGAACTTGCCCGCCTCGCTTTTTTAACGCACACAACCCATGATCAATTCAATCAAAACCTCATGAACCCTTGGGAACTCATGCATCTGATCGAAACTCATAGAGACCAAGAGTAACTCAATGCAAAAGCCGTAGAACATACACCTTCCGTACCGCCTTCTGGGCGGCCGACAAGGGAGGAAGAGGTCGAGGGACGTTACCACCCCTGGCCTCCAGTGTGTGGGCGAGGGCACCGATACTGCTACTCCCCGGAGCTCTCCCAGGGTGCACTCTGGCCAGAGTTCCGGTGCGAGTCCAGCCGTGGCGGCGAGGGCCTCTCAAGAAGCCCAAACTGAAGGGGAAGTGGGGCACACAAATGAATAGACACAAATAACCAGATTCCCCATCCTTCCCCGTATCCTCTGGGTGTTTGTCTTCCCCCCCACTTCCCATATTTCCCAATCTTTTCTGGGGAATCGACGATTCATTGTGTCTGTGTGTTGTTTTCCCTCCTGACGAGCATGCGAAAACGAGAGAGAAAGGCAGCGGTATTCGGCACCTTCTCCCTCTCCGCAAGGTCTCCCACAGGGACTCCCGCCTGCTCTCCTGTGTGGTTGAAGGGGGCCCTAGGACACAAAATACAGATACAAATATGACAGGATCCCCCATATTTCCCCATATCTTCTGGGTGTTTGTCTTCCCCCCCACTTCCCATATTTCCCCATATTTTCTGGGGAATCGACGATGACTGGTGTCTGTGTGTTGTTTCCCCTCCTGATTTTGGGCCTTCTGCAGCCAGAATGCAGCCCTCTATGTCACATCTTCGAGGGGGCCGCGTCCGTCCGATCGCGCTGCCATCCACGTCGACTCCGCGTCGAATCCCGTGCCGAACGCGTCGAGTCCGCGTCGAGTCCACGCCCAAACCCACGCAGATGCATCATCGAATCCGCATCGAACACAGGCCGGAGTAAAAGGAAACCGCCACGTACAGGACAAGCAAACTCCCGCGAAACTGCAAAGCAGAGTTATGCCGTGTCTTGCTCTTCTCTCCGCGCTGGCCGTGTCGTGAAAAGGAGCCTGCTCCCATGATGGGCCCATTTCCCACCACCACTGCCACAGGTAGGAGAGGGACGAGGAGGAGGAGGAGGAGGAGGAGGAGGAGGAGGAGGAGGAGGAGGTTGGAGGAGGAGGAGGTAGGAGGAGATAGGAGGAGGAGGAGGCGGAGGAGGAGGAAAAGGAGGAGGGGGGGCGGAGGAGGAGAAGGAGGAGGAGGAGGAGGTAGGAGGAGGTAGGAGGAGGAGGTAGGAGGGAGGAGGAGGAGGCGGAGGAGGAGGCCCTCCTCATCCTCCCCTCCTCCCCCGTCCTACGCCTGGTAGTGGTGGTGGACACTGTGCCCACCAGCCCAGGCACACACACACACACACACACACGCACACGCACACGCACACGCACACACGCACACACACGCACACGCGCACGCGCACACACACACACACACACACACCACACACACACACACACACACACACACACACACACACACACACACACACACACACACACACACACACACACACACACACACACACACACACACACACGCGCACGCGCACACGCACACGCACACACACACACACACACACACACACACACACACACACACACACACACACACCACACACACCACACACACACACACTCTGCAGCTCTGCGCTGCCCGAGGCCCCTCCAGCCGTCCCGCTGCCTGGCCTCCTCCCCGTCCCCCCTCGCCCGGCTGCCGCCACCCCCGCGCATCGAGGCGCAGCCGGCTGCGCCCCGCCGCCTGCTTCTGCCCGCCTGCTGGGCCCAACCCGCCGCCGACCCAAGCACTGCTCGTCGAGGCCCTCGGCTCGAGGCCAACCCCTCTCGAGTCGAGGTCCCTCGACTCGAGGGGGACCTCCCAGATGGCCTCCGAAAGCTTGGGGTCGAGGGGTCGCGGTGGGGCATCGGCGACGCCTCGGCGATGCGCCGTCGCTGTCGGCGTGGCGAGCATCGGGCCCCGCATCGGGCCACATCGTTGATTCATCGGCGATGCGAAGCGATCCTTCGACCCCATCTGCTTGGAACCCTGTCTGGAGGAGTAGCTCGAGGGGGAGAGAGATCGTTGTAGATCTTTCTGCGATATCCACGGTTATGTGGTGGAGGGGAGGGAAGGGGGGGCGGCCGATAACCTAACCTTTCTGCTTTGGGCAGCCCCACGTATGCCCGCGCGCACAAGCAGTGCGCACCCCCTTCGGACCTTCGCAACCGACAAGGTCAGTTTATCTGGAAGGCGGGGGGGGGGGCGGGCCCGATATGATGGAGGCTTCGGAAAAGAAACCATTCGATGAGGAATCCAGGGTCTGGAAGCTGGTGGGACTCCAATCGTGGATTTGACATGGATGTCGCCACCGCCCTCACTAAATAAAGGATGTTGCAAGGTCTGGCGCCTCCTGGGCACGTTCCTTAACGAACCGTTTTTGTTCATGGATGCCTCCTGTAAGGACTCCTGAGCAAGATGAAAATGCATTTGGTAAGGACCCCCGAGGTAAGGATTCCGGATGACTTGCTCATTCTACCTTTAATAAGGGCCACGTGGTAATGATGCCTTCAGCAATGGGATCCCTCATAGAGACTCTATCCTCTTGCAGAGAGGCCACTGTAGAGAGGACTCCTTTTGCAAGTTAAATACGGCGGTCATAATCCGTTATCACGAAGTCATGTAGTAATGGCTCCTGAAGAAAGATGCGGGTTCCTGAACAAGAGTATCTTCTTGATCACGGGATCCTCAGCACGGGTGCTTCAATATTGAAGCCTCATCGTTGGGGATGCCTTTAGTAAGAATCCCGTCCATAGGGTCCCACCCGTGTAGTGTTTCCTTAGGTATAGGTTCCCCAAGATGGGTGCCTTGCGTGAGGACTTATTTGGTAAGGATTACTTCGTCCGAATATTTGGCACGTGTTGACAGCATCTGTGACAAGAGTACTTCTCCCCCAATCCACCCATGGCCACCACCAACACCCCTGGACTGGGGCTGCGGGAACAGATGCGGTTTCCCCTGAAGGAAACGACCTAAGGCGTGAGATGGGCGCAACAGTAATGGGTCTTTAGAGAACCTTCATCCAGTCAGAAATTAGGAATACATAATGATTCCTGACATAGTCAAACATTTGCAAGGTGAGCGTCTTTTGTTCGGCGTTTCGGCATCTGGCGGAAAGGGGGGGGATGGGGGGGGGATCTGGCTCCGGACCTCTGCTGAGTGCCACTGCTTGCCACAGTGCGTGCTGTGGGGGAGACCCCACCTGCTCGAGACAGGCGCCCAAACAGCCAAGATCCACTCCATTCAGGGGGACGTAAGACCTGGGTACAGGAGACTCGGAAATCCCCGACGAGGTCGTCAAAAAAATGACGAGGCCGAGCCTGCATTTTGACGAGGCCTCCCGCTGCAGACATCCCACGAAATTCCTCCTCGTCAAAATCCGAGGCGCGGTCGTCAAAAAACGATGGCGAACCCGAGTCCTGGCAAACCCGGGTCTTACGCTCACTCGATCCATGGTGAAAACGAGACGACACCACCCCACTTCCGGCACGACGGCGTTGGAATTTTCAGCGCCTGCCCCGCGCTGCCTCGGCTTCTCATCGCGCCGGCCGCTGGCGCCCCTGAGAGGGGATGTAGCTTTGGCCGCCTTGCGGGCGGCAGCGCAAATGGGACCAGAGAGATGAGCTTCAAACCGTCGGACAGGAGAGTCACCATGCTGCTTGATCTCGAAGTCGGCACCCTCAAGGCCGATGCCACTGAGCCACGGGCGGAGAACAGCAACGACGGAGGCGATAGTCGTAGGCTTTTGCGAAACACAGGCGACGATGGTCGAATCCACCTCGCGAGCGGAAGAGGACGGCGTGGGTGGGGACGGGCGACGACGAGTTGACGCTGGAGTTCGGTAGCCTGGGCCTGCAACGCAGCGATGGCGGCATCATGGCCGTCAGCCCTTGAAGAAATAGTGGCGATAAGCTCTGTGTGCTCGTCAATCTGCTTCTGGAGGCGACGCGTGAGGGAGTCCATCCTCGGGACCAGGGAGGACTGAACCTGCGACGCAATGCTCGCGGACTGCTTGGAAACCCCATCCTGCATATTGGGAAGCATGCCGAGGAGGGTGGAATGGTTGTCGCCGACGGTCTTGGACACAGCAGAGCTGACTTCCTGCTTGATGGTGGAGCGCATGACAGCGAATTCCTTGCGGCACAGCTGTCGCAGGAAATCGTCTGAGTAGAAGTCGTCATCGTCATCAGCGGGAGCGGGAGCAGGAGCATCATCGTCAGGGTCCGCAGCAGCCTGGCGCTTGGGAGAGACGAAGCGGCCAGTGCCCTTGCCCTTGCCACAGGAGCGCCGACCTTCATCCTCTGGGAATGTGGGAGCAGCGTCGAGCTCGGCTGCGAGCGCACGCATCTCCTTGGAGGAAACCATGGGCGCGTCCGAGACGGCATTGGCCATGGCACGAGGAAGCCTGGGAAGTCTGCCAGCCTTTGACAGCTGGATGGCCCTGAGGGAAAGGCTGCCACACACACAAAACGGGCTTGTCCCAATTTTGAGCCAAAATTGCAACGGAGGCGGAGGCGGAGCAGGAGGCGGAGGCTGAGGAGGAGGAGGAGGAGGAGGAGGAGGAAGAGGAGGGGGGGGAGGAAGCGGAGAAGGAGGAGGAGAAAGGCGGAGGCGGAGGGAGGAGGAGGAGGAGGAGGAGGAGGAGGAGTAGATGGACGAGGAGGGGGAGGGGAAGGGGGAGATGGATGATGAGGAGGAGAAGACGGAGGAGGAGGAGGAGGAGGAGAGGAGGAGGAGGAGGACGAGGACGAGGACGAGGAGGAGGAGGAGGAGGAGGAGGACGAGGAGGAGGAGGAGGAGGAGGAGGAGGAGGAGGAGGAGGAGGAGGAGGGGGTGCGAGGGTCCGCGCCGATCGGCAGAGCCGATCACAGGGACGATAGGCAGGAGAGGGAGGAGGAGGCGGAGGAGGAAGAAGAGGAAGAGGGGGGTGGGTGCGAGGGTCCGCGCCGATCGGCAGAGCCGATCACAGGGACGTTTTTTTTGCGGGGCATGCTTCAGGGGGGCTCCCTGTGCGCAGCCCCCTAATCGGATGGGCCGAGTGTCCAAAACTATTACCGTAGGCAGGAGAGGGAGGAGGAGGAGGAGGAGGAGGAGGAGGAGGAGGCATTAGGAGGCATGAGGAGGAGGAGGAGGAGGAGGAGGAGGAGGAGGAGGAGGAGGAGGAGGAGGAGAGGAGAAAGACGAGGAGGAGGAGGAGGCATGAGGAGGAGGAGAAGAAGGAGAAAGAGGAGGAGGAGGAGGATGAGGATGATGATGATGGTGATGATGTGATGGTGATGGTGATGATGATGATGATGATGATGATGATTGATGATGATGAGGATGATGAGATGATGATGATGATGATGATGATAAGGAGGAGGAGGAGGAGGAGGAGGAGGAGGAGGAGGAGATGGAGGAAAGGGATGAGGAGGACCTCCCCATCCTCCCTTCTCCTCCGTCCTACCTGTAGTAGCTGTGGTGGGCAATCGGCCCATCAGAAGCCCTGCCCGCAAGATCTTCTCCGTGAGGCGTCCTCGCCGGGGGCTCGTCCGGCTCGGCGCCGCCGCCGGCACCGGGGGCGGCGACGGGCGCCGCCGCGGCGGCAGGACCGCCGCTGCCCGCGCTGGTAGCCTCGTGGAGGGGCGAGGATCGTCGACGCCGACGGCGACGGACGGCAGACGAGGGCAACGATGCAGACAGACGACGACGATGACGACAGACGACGACGACGACGACACCGACGACGACGACAACGACAAAGACGACGACGACGACGACGACGGCGGCGACGACAGACGACGGCAGACGACGGCAGACGACGACGACAACGACGACGACAGACGACGACGACGACGACAAACGGCGAGTGGACTCTCGGTCCGCCCCTTGCCCCGTCGGCTGCCTCGCACCGAGAAGAGCGGCGGCAGAATGGCGTCGGCGTCGGCGTCGGCGTCGGCGACGGCGTCGTCGTCGTCGTCGTCGTCGTTGTGGTCGTGGTCGTGGTCGTGGTCGTGGTCGCGGTCGTGGTCGTAATCGTTGCTGTGGTCGTGGTCGTGGTCGTGGTCGTGGTCGTCGTCGTCATGCCAGCTCGAAAAATGGCGCAGAGAGATCGGGTCCAGGGCTCTAGTCGAGTCGATGAGACTGTTTCCCAGCCATCCTGTGGTGTGGGGTCATCGTTTTGCAGACAGAGACAGCACCCCACGTCCCCTTCATCCTTCTTCTTCCTCACCACCTCCACCGATTCCTGCCCTGCCTCTGCCTCTGTGTATCCTCCTCGTCATCCTCCTCCTCCTCCTCCTCATCATCATCGCCAGCATCAGCATCAGCATCAGCATTAGCATCACCACCATTCCCCCTCATCATTATCAGCAGCATCATCACCATCACCATCACCATCGCCATCATTATCATCATCAATAACATCATCATAACCATGATCATCATCATGATCAGCATCATCATCCGCATCAGCATCGTAATCTCCATAACTATCATCGTCACAACCACCACTCTAATATTAGTCATCAGCATCATCGTCAGCGGCATCATCATCATCGTCGTCATTATCAGGATCATCGTTACCATCATCATCATCATCATCATCATCATCATCATCATCATCATCATCATCATCATCATCATCATCATCATCATCATCATCATCATCATCATCATCATCATCGTCGTCGTCGTCGTCGTCATCATCATCATCATCATCATCATCATCATCATCATCATCGTCAACAACAACAACCTAATGATCATACTCAACACAACAACACTCATCATCCTCATCATCACCATGAGTATCAGTCAGCATTCTCAGTCGCGTCCTCACCCTCATCAGCAGCAGAAGTTGAAGCTGCATCACCGCCATAACCACCAACATCTTCATCAGCAGCAGTAGCAGCAGAAGCGTCGTCGTCATCATCGTCGTCGTAGTCCTCTTCATCTTCCTCCTTGTCGTCGTCATCATCAGCATCATCATCATCGTAAGCATCAGCATCGCCATCATCACTACCATCATCATCATCACCATGACCACCACCACCACCAGCATCATCATCATCACCATCAACAACAACAGCATCAGCAGCATCGTTCTCAGCATATGATTATGGGCCCCGCACGTTTCGTGGCCCCGCAGGGAGCTCCACCGAAGGCCCCCTTGGCAGCGCCCGCATGACACCGCCGCACACACTTCGGCCCACCCCTCACATGTCTCGTGGCCCCATACGGAGCTTCACCTGACGCCCCCATTGACAGCGCCGCACCCGTGTCGGCACGCCCCTCACACGGTTCGTGACCCGGTAGGGAGCTCCACTGAAACCCCCAGTGGCAGCGACTCATGACACCGCCACACACGTTTCGGCACACCGTTCCGACGCCTCGTGGCCCCCTAGGGAACTTTACGGAAGGCCCACGTGGCAGTGCCCGCGTGACACCGCCGCACCCAATTCGGCACATCCCTCAAACGCCTCGTGGCCCCATCGGAAGCTCCACCGAAGGCCCGCGGAACTTTCCGTAGCCATGTTGGCTCAAGGCTCCATGCTTGGGGAGCTGACAGCCTCCTGGCAACAACGGGATAGCTCTGTTCCCCGAGCTCGCGACTCAGCTTCTCGTGAAGCCAGGTCCGCCCCTGGTCTTCCTGAAATTGCGTGCGTTGCGGTGGCCCCAGCATCTCTAACTCTGTCTCTAGGCTGGCTGCAAGGGCTCCTGGAAGGACTACAAGCTTCCAGCAGCAGGTGACGGCAACACAACGCCATGGGGCGTCGGCAGCGGCAAGACTGGCGTTCCTGGGACGCAACAGCACGGGAAAAGGTCATGGGCGTGGAGGTCGCGGAAGCGAAGGGCCCGGGCCTGGCGACGGAGGGCCCTCGTATCCCGCGACTCTCACCATCTCGGCTGACAAGATCACAGCCTACGCAGCGATGGCCATGGAGTCCTACAACATCGTCAAGGACCAGCTCTCCAAAAGCAGCCGAGACAAGGTCGAGCTGGCCCGCCGAAAAGCAGACGCCGGGGTCTTGGGCTCGGAGGCTCGGAAGCTACCCCTGGCTGTGAGCCGCGGCTGACGCCAGCGACAAACGTGAGATCCTTCTCGGGAACTTCCGCAAAACTTTGGAGGCGTTGGCCGAGTCCGGGCGGGCTCTCGCCGAGCGCAACGCCGAGCTCGAGGAGACCAACCGCGGCCGAGGAGTCGCTCCGCTCGGTCAAGGAGAAGGTGGCGGGTATCCCCGCGGAGGGCAAGTCGGTGGCAGAGGTCTTTGCCAGCCTCTCGGCCCTCTTCGACGAGCTGGCAGCTGCAGCAGCACCTCCTCCAATACCAGAGCCTCCGCCAGGTGGCAACGGCGTTCCAGCCGCTGGGGCGACAGCTGGAGCTGCTGGGTGCGCAACAATGGGCGAGGCCGAAGACGATCTCGGCAAGTTCATGGCAGGCGAGGGCCCAGGTGGCCTCTTGGGCAGCGCAGCGGACGAGGACGAGAAGAAGAAGCGGCTCCAGGAGGCGCTCGACACCATCAGGGCAGCCAAGCGTTCCAAGACCCCGGCTGGGTAGCGTAACGCGGCGCTGGGCTCGGTGGCAATCATTCCTCTTTGCTGCCCAAGAGGGCAGGTGCACAGGCGGGGCGCTGGTGGATTGGCCCCAGTGTCAACTGCCATGCGCGGTCGCGGCTCTCCCAGCTCCTGGGCGCGGCCGCGGGCAGGTGCAGCGACTTCGTCGCTGCCCAGGAGACGCACCTCGACGCCCAACGGACGCGCGACGTTCAAGGGCAGCTCCGCAGGCTCGGGAGGGCCTCGGAAGCAGAGGCAGCGATCGACGCTGGGCCAGGGCGCCAGGGCAGCGGAGGGCTTGTCCACATGGTGCCTCGCCGCCTTGGGTTCGGGCCGTTCGAGCTGCTCGGCAAGCCGTCCGCGCTGGTGCCTGGGCGCGCTATCGCCTCCCACTTCAACGGCGTCTGCCGAGGCGGCATTGCTTGGGCCAACCTCTACTTGGAGGCCAGCGTCGGCCACGACAGGAGCAACGCCGACACGCTGCACGAAGTGCTCAGGACCCTGCGAACGGCCAACAAGCCATTCGTGGTCTGCGGCGGTTTCACCATGGAGCCGTCCGTCTTAGCAGAGCCAGGCTGGCTAGAGGCGGCCCAAGCAGTCGTCGCGGCTCCCAAGGAGCCTACGTGTAGGCCTGCGGCCCAATTCATCGATTTCTTCGTGGTCTCCAAGCTCTTCCGAAAGGCCGAGGCCAGTGTCATTCACGGGCTCGCCCTCAGCCCGCACTTCCCCGTCGCGCTCGCGCTGCTCGGGCCAGAGAATCACCTGGCCGTCGCCGCCATGGTTTGGCGAAGCGGCTTCCGCTACCCAGGCCGTTGGCCTGCTGTGCCAGGGACCACGTCCCAGGCTGGCTCGCATCGCGCGACCTGCTCGAACGGGCCAGTGACCTGGACAGCATGTGGCAGATCTTCACCAGGCAGGCGGGTCAACATGGTCGACGCGCGCGGGCTCATCCACGACCTCGACAGATACAGGGAGAGCGGGTCGCCCCAGGCTTGTGGTCACATCAGCTACAGCCCCGTCGCCTCCGAGGCTTCCGGGGGTCACGAGAGCGGCGGCATGGTGCAGGTCGAACGCCATCTGCCCTCGCGATGCGGCGCAGATCGACAAGCCGTTCTCCAGGACGGGAGCCTTGAAGGCGCTCAAGCGCATGCCCAGCAAGCCTCCGCCCAACCTCTCCGAGCTGCCCGTCGTGATCGGCGCCATCGGTAGCGGAGCTCAGGACTTCTCCCTGGGCTAGCTCGAGATCCTGAGCGCAGCCAGCTTCTCCTGGTCCGAGGCCATGGTCATTGCTGACCTCGTCCTGGCGCGGCGCAACTACAATGACTGGGTGCTTCGCTCAGTGGCGACAGGCTCGGGCGGCATCCATGCCGACGGCGAGGCGCCACTCACAGCGCAGCAGAGCCTCCAGGCCCTCGTCGACGAGTGGACGACGTACTGGGACGTGGTCGCGCCTGCACCGAGGCAGGCAGGTGCAGTGGAGGATGTGGCTGTCCTGAGGCCCGTGGGCCCTCCGAGTGCCGCGGGCCCTCCTTCGGGGGTCTCTGTCGGCGCGAGGAACGGGAATCGCGCCGCTGCTTCGGGCAGCGCGGGCGGGATCCGCAGCCGCGGGGGGAGGGGGGGGGGGTCGGCGAGCGCCCTAAGGCCACCCCCCCCAACCCCCAGACCCAGGACCTTCGCAGCCTCCTGCGAGAGCCCCATCGAGAGGCTGAGTACGAGCGGCACCGTCTGGATTGGCCTGAGGACCTCGGAGAGCGCCCTGATCGGCCATCTGTGGCTGAGCTGCGGAAAGTGATCTCGTCGTTCAAGCCATAGTCTGGGTCCAACTTTGGCAGCGTTCGTCCGAGCGAATTCGACGTGTTGGATGGCCAGGGCATTGAAGCTCTCGTAGACTCGATCATCACGAAAATGGTCTTCATACCCAAGGCTGAAATGGGACTTCGGCCCACAGCCTTGCCGGCTGCCGTGGTCAGAGTTCATGGAAGGCTGCGAAGGCCTCTCATGCAGCAGAGGGAGATGGACAACGACAGGCCGCATTGGCGGGCATGCTGAGGGCGCCCGCGCGACAGAGCGGCGTGGCA